TGGGCAGCCAGTATTAGTATTTTGATTTTAGTTTTCAGCCTTTGATCTGCTCTCCTTGAGCTATTAGACATCTTGTCTCATTCATCAGTGAGACTGCTTTTCCCCTGGGAGGAGATGCTCTCTTTCTCTCCCCTGTTTCCCCTGCTATTAGAGCTACACCTTGATCATGGTGCCTGAACTTTAGCTACACTGTGTGTTTTTCTCCAATGCAGTTTACACAGCAGAATGCAGCTTCTCAAATGACATCTCACCTGCAAATATATCTTCTTTTAAAATTTTTTGAAAAAAACTATTTAAAGTATTTTTTTAAAGTTTTTCCTTACCACCATGCCTAACTTGTGTCAGGACCAACAGGAGGAATATGTTTTTCAGAATGGGAGGGTTGTATTTCAGATTGGAAAGCAAACATGAAGCAAATGACATTTCTGCCTTGGATCAAATGCTCCGACTAGAAAATACTGATCTCTCTCTTCTGTGACTCACCCGGGGCTGCAAGGTCAGCTTAACAGAGTCTTATTCTTGGTAGCAAAATCTTCGGAAGCTCTGCAGTGTTGAAAGGCTTGGCTCACCTTTTTCCCCCAAAGAATTCCAGCAGATCAGGAGTTAGCAATAATGTCTGATTAGGGCTTCCAGACTAGACCTCATGACTGTTTTGTTAAACCCCAAGGCAGAAGCTTAATCTTTTTCCCAGGCATCTCCCTACAAATTACATTCTATTAATTGAAAGCCCTTTTAATTAACATTTTCAGAGTACCCTTCTTGAATAGCCACTAATTAATGTTGCCTCTATTTTGGCATAGAACCCAGTAAAAAATCTCTTTTTAAGTGTTGTTTTCTTTTTAAACCATTGCATTGTGAAGAGTTTGATACCTTTTGAGTAGTTTTGTTTTTCACCATTTAGGTAGCTTAACTATATATATTTTTAATACTTTTGTTTTTTCCTTTTTCTTTTTTCTTGCAGTTCTGCTTCAATATATCCTAGAAATATCCTGAACGGTCGACCTCTCCTCCATGCTAATTCTCTAAATGCCACAAAGTCTTCCTGCATCCACATGAAGACTTTTCTAACCTTTTCTTACCTAGAAAACAATGTCTGGCTGCTGCAGAGAAATTCAGCCTGCTCTTGGCCCTGCTGTTTCAATACAGCCACATCATATCTCACTAAATATTCTGCTTGCAAATGAGAAGCAGTTTAAAAAAAAAAGTAAAATTTTGGCAAATTGAGCATTTCCTCCCTTTCTCACAACAAAATAAAACCCCTTTCATCCCTGGACATACACAGATTGTTGCAGCCTCAGCACTGCTGGGCCTCAGCAGCGTGGTGCAGTGGAGCTTTGTTTTTCTCAGTTACAGAAGGTCTCCCTCACCCGCACCCTGCAGGATGTCCTCCCGCTCTCCCTCTGTGCCGCTGCATGTGGGAAGCTCCAGTCTTCCAGCAGCTGACCCTGCTCCAAAGCTGAGGGCAGCTTCTGAGCTGGAAGAAGTAGGCTCTGACAGCATGATGCCTGATGGCTGATTTGCTGCAGGGCTTGTGATGTGATCTGCCAGGTTCTGGAGGGTGCCAGCCTGCCACCTCCCACTGGCAGAGAGCACCTGGAGTCAGAGCCAGTTTGGAAGCAAGGGCGGGCAGCTATTGAGTGCTCCCAGATGACTCCAGACATGGTGTTTTTCCTATCTAACACTTTTCCCATGCAGACACCCATTTTTCAAGCCTGGCTGCTGTACCTTGCTCTCAGTAAAGTTGTGTCTGGCTGCTCCTAAGTGGATGGATTATACTGTTCTGAGCTCCTATGACTTAGGGTCAGTCCTCCCTGAACCTTGCTAGATCCTCACTTGCTCTGAGATCTTCAGGTAAGAACAGACACCAGGATGTTCTTTCATTCCTACTTGTCAAAAAGATTGCAAGAACATTTTTTCTACAGATGGATGTGACTTGCCCTAACCATCCAAGCCTTTTTCATCTTCATATTAGATTACTTCAGCATATTTCTACATGAGGCTATGCCAAGTGCAGCATACAGCAAAGTTAATAATGGAAGAGCATAGAAGTTAAAAGTAAATCTGGTGTTTTAAAATTCATTCATGTTAATAATGCAAACTGCTACTTTTTAAAATTCCTTGCTATGTTTTTACAGTGCTACTTCAAAAATCTCTCCTTAAAGAAGGCTAAAAATCAAATACAACTCATAACTTTTAAATTCACTTATGGTCTTAATGGAGGCTGGTGTCCTTTCCTTCAGTGATTCTCCCCAAGACCTTAGGAGGGGGATGAAATTGAAGGATGTTCATGTATTTGCTTTTGTCTTTCTGTTGTTTCTGCCAGCTCTACAACACATTGCAACTCTTGCTGGTGGTTCTCTGCTGATGGCTTGTGAGAGGGCTGGCAGCTCCAAATGATGCTCTGGTATGAGGTTTGAAGGGGACAACAAAAAGGGTTCTTTTTAACCTTTGCTCTGAGATTTCTGGTCTATGTGGGACTATTTTCTAAGGCCTGAAGAGCTGGATGTTTTCTCTCTTTCTTTCTAAAATGTGGTTAAATTTCCCATGGGGACTACCTGAAGTAAAAAGCCTGAAGAGACAAAAGTCTTTGAATATTTGGAAATGGTAAGCCCTGGCATGGTGTTGGATGCTCGGGTGGGTGGATAGTACTATAATCACACACAAGTTTCTCTTAATGTGTTTTCATACTGCTAGCACTGCTAAAAAGCTGTTCTTTATTTTGTGATACTTAATGTACTCATAGAGCCTTTGATATGGGGCATTTTGGCAGATTAACATGGACTTAGAGCAGTTTAGCTGTTCTTAGGTGCAGTATGTTCACTGAGCCGGAAATACTTTGCTGGAAAAGTGTACATGGAAGACAGGAAAGCATTCTTAATATCTTTAAGTTACATGTGATTAAAAAGAGTTTGAAAAGCCTTGGAAAAGAGAATTTGCACCTTCTAAACACCAGAACAGGTAGAAGTACCGGGTCAGTTCTGGGAACTTGAATTTTAATCCCAAAGAAAGCAGGTTGAGGGGTGCAGCTGCAAACAACCCACCTTGGTTGTTCCCAATCAGTGCCTATGGCAAACAAACAGCACAAACTGCTGCAGCCACCTCTGTAATGGGAGTCCCGTGGACAGATCAGGAAGGTGGCCTTTTCCCTCGAGCCCAGCTCTAAGAAGAATTGAGCTCCATTTTGTTTGGGATCTTTCTTACTGGAGACCACCATCAGCAAATAAGAAGCACCAGGTGGAGGCAATGCCCCCACCAGGACCACACCAGCCCCTCAGCACCTGCTCTCACCCTGGGTCTCCTACCCCTGACCATGCTCCAGGAGCCTGTGTGTGTGGCAGGCACATGATAATTTGAGTCTTGCTGGGCTTTGCACAGCTCTGGCTGCAGGGCTGGTGCCAGCCTGCTTGCCCTGTTAGACCCAGCCTGCGTGTGCAGTGATGGATACTCAGGAGCTGCCAGCCCCTCTGAAAGCCATCTGCTGCCCACTTGCTGAAATAGCAAGTGTTGCAGCCCAGACTAGTTGAGATCACAAGCTCCCCTCAGGAATTCTTTGTGGATGAAGTCTAACAGGGTAAATGAAATCCCCCTCTGAGAAGAGATCCAGGAAAAGGAGGTGGGAATAGGTGCTGCCTTTCTCCTACCTACAGAATGTCAGTGCCTCTAACTCAGGCTGCTTGTAAAGAGTCTGGAAGCCACCAGTCTCCTTTGCATTTGCTTTGCAGCTCACAGAATTCTTATGGAGTTGCACACATATCTTCTTATCTTATTGATAACTTACTTTTCCCTGGTGACCAAATAGTTTTGGCGCTGGAGCTGGCTGTTCTCAGGCAGTCCATGTCCTGGCCATGGAAGCAGTGCAGGATTTGTCCCCAGCTCAGGGAATCTCTTTTTCACAATGCTAACTTTGTGAGCTGAAGAATTTAGGAGGAAAAGGGCTAGTTTCTTCATTTATGGCCACTGATGACTGTGGGAGCCTTTCCAGGCTTGTATTTGCCACCCACTTCCCCAGTGGGAAGCCAGAAGCAGCAAGAGGAATCTATTTCCCACTGTTTAGCTGTATTTATTTTCCACTGCCTGCCTCTCTGCCTGCAGTACTGCAGACGTTCCCAAAGCACCTGAAGTCATTTATTTTCTACCTCTGCCTGTGGCAGTGGTATTGCACCCTAGAAGGTTTTGCTTGAGGCCTTCTGGGCTTGCTCTAGGCATGTGAGAAAATAAATAGACTTAGGAACAGCATGTGTTAAATCCATGGTGGGTGTCTAGACTGCCAAGGTTTGTATACGTTTTCACTTTTAATAAGTGTACATAGATATATCGCCAAATATCTGGTAGACAAACATACTCTAGATGCTGCAAACTTGCTGTTGGTATGGTCCTCTCAGGAGCCATTTGAACAGCACCAGCTTCCCTTTATAAACACTAACATTTCTTTAAAAACTTAAAGGAGTTTTGATGGTCTCCATTTAATTAGGAAAATCTTTGCTACATTTGTTGTGTTTTATGAGCTTTCCTGGGTCATCCAGAGTCCTCTGTGGATTAGGAGGACGCTCTGTCTTTGCCAGGGCTGTTCAGGTCTTACCGCTCTGAACCGAGCTGTGCATGCACAGTCCAGGGTTCAGGGGTTTGGGTGAGAACAGCCGAGGAAAGGGGCCAGTTGGCAGCTTTTTGTTGAAAAATTATGAGGTTTGGCATGATAAAATGGCTACAGGCTTCAAAAGTAATAGGACTTTCATTCTTGTCTACGATTATAAATGGCTGGGAGTCAAGATGGGTCCATTTATTTCCACAGCTGGCTGCTTAGCAAGTGCCTGGTTCATGCTTTGAATAACTTGTGTTTTCCCACCCTTCTGATGGTCTTTTGCAGATGCACCTCCACTTACATCACATTTCCATCACCTGTGCTCCTTTAGCCCAGGTGGGACCACTAATTTGATTTCTTCACCTTCACTGGCAGATTTCTTGTCTGCTGGCTCAGTCACATAAAAAAAGCAGAAAAGCTGCTGGCTTAAAGGTGGGGCAGGTGAGCAGGGCTGCTGTTCCTGGTTTGTAGCCAATTGAACCCCTAACCCTGAGCCTCCAACTGGGGAAAACGTGAGGAAGGAACACGAGAGGGTAAGCCAAATCAGTTTTTTCTTTTATTTCACTTCGTCACTTTCCCTCATTCCCCTACATCTTGCTAGCAAATACACCTGCTGCTTGTCTGACAGCTGGCTAAGGCTGAAGCTGGAAAAGAGCTCATGAGATATTCAAAATTTCTGCAATTTGAGCTCCAGTGTACCTTCCCTACTTACCACAGGGGAGACAAATCCTCTTACCCAGCTGTTCCAGCAGCAAAGCTGGAAATGAGGAAATGAGCTCTCTGTGACCCCCTGGTCACTGTGGGAGCTCTGGGGATTGTGCCTGGCCCTCTGCTTTACAGGTGTTTTCTGGAACTTTACTGGGACCTGCAGGGTCATCCTGGGTACCCTGGCACTGAAAGGATCCACCCTGTTTAGCAAAGTCATATAAGGTGACAAAATTAAATTGAGTGATTGATACAGTTTGAAGTTACAGATGAAAAGGCGAACTTTTCATTAAAAAATTATTTTTTTTCTATGGTGCTGCTGACCCCTGCTTGCTCTCCAAGTAATCCTCTGGTGGTCTGTGCTCACAGGGCTCATAGGAAAGCTTCTCTTTCTATTGAGGAGAGGGTGGAGGAGGAGAAAAGTCTAAAAAGAATTTGGTCTTCTTTTCCCCCATGAAATTGAAAGACATTAAGTTTTCTGGAATAGCATGTCAATTTGTTCTTGCTGTGGAATAAGACCAGTGCTACACAAAAATGAGGCTATTTGGGTACAAAATGAATGCAAACCAGTGTCTCATTCCAATGCAAGCTGGAATGGCTGAGCAAGAAACACAAAGCATCTGGTTTGTGTTTGACAGAAGCAACAAGAAACTTTAAAAAATGAAACTTCTTTGCTCTTTTTCTGAAGTTACTCAGAAAGTTAAAAATTAAAAATAACAAATGATTCTTAAGAATTTTCATTCCTGGGAGTTTATAAATACCTTAGGTATTTTTGTTTTGGACTGTGCTTGACATTCACATAACCCTGTGTGGAAGGTGTATATATAAGATAAGTAGCTCTAAAATGCCTCTTTGAAAATTTTTATAGGCTTTTGAGCAGGCTCTGCAGTATAATTGACATTATGGCTTCTATCCCTTTCTTAAAATTTAAAAGTGAAACATAAGAAACTGATTTCTCCAGTGTACTCCCCCAGGTCACAGTCTGAATACGGCTGTTTGTTAGCAGTGTGAGCTTTTAAAAAAGGTACCTTCTCAGGAGGTGAGAAAAGGTGCTCCATGAACTTTGCAGCCCCTCTGGTGAGGCTGCACTTGAGCCAGCTGTTCCCCAGGTTATGCCAAGGCAGATACAGGGATGAATCATAAAGTTTGTCTCCAGGAAAAAGCAGATTTCTTAAACAAGAATGGTATCATTGAGACCTTTGAAATCTCTGGGTTGCTCACCTTGAATGAGGTTACTGTCTGAGGGCAGCCATGCACCTAGAAGGAAAACTAACTCAGTAAGGCAGTTTTTCAGAATTTTCTAAGATTGGGCATTTATCTGCTATTTAGTTGGCACCCATCAGGATAGCAACTAATTGAAGCCAAAGGGACCAATCATGGTGCAAGATACTGGGCAATGTGAGTAATGAGAATATTATTTGGCCTTTAATTAGTCATTTAGAGTTCACTTCAGAACTGGAGAGCTTAGGTTGGATTCACTGCTCCTGCACATGGGTTCCTTGTGGATTAATTTGTGACTCCCACAGAAGGGGGCTGGTGACTGCAGAACTGCTGATATCTGCAGGTGTTTGCACCACTTTCTTACCCATGCCATTCATCACTGGAGAAACTGGGAATTTTCTCCTCTTTTGTCACAAAATATCTGTGGTCTCTCAGGTGTCTCAAATCTTGTGGATTTCTCTAGGTGCCAGCTAAATTACAGGAGCTTTGCTGCAGGATAACAAGCCTGGCTACCTTCCAGCTGGTTGCTTTGCTGGTTGTCCGGCTGTTAACCTGACCAGGAAAGTGCTATGGATGGATGTCTGTCACAACACAGTGTTTGTTTTTCCTTACCTTGCTGTAAATATATTTGATTAGTGTTGAACAGCTGAAGTCTGTGAGAATTAAATTACTTGATTGTTGTCCATTAACATCTGTGCAGGAAAACTGGTTTTAATAAGGATTGCAGAATATTCTAAGTTGGAAGCAATCCACAAGGATCATCAAGCCTAACTCTGTGAAGAGGGATGGATGGAACTTTCTTTTTTCCTATTCCCTGCTGGATTTCTTTTAGGAATATATTTTCCTGGAAACTTTTTTTTTTGTTTGTTTGTTTTACCTCTCCTGTAATTTCCTGTATACTTTAACAGGAAGAATGACTACTGTGGTGGTTGCTGCTGAAAAATTTAGGATGAGCAGATAGGATAAGTGATAAATTTTGGTGTACCCTTAGCATGTGTCCTTTGAGGTCTGACTTTTTTCCTGTGTTCTGGCTATTTGCAATTTGTTGTGGATTGATGCTATGGCATTGCCTCTGGTCATTAGATTTGACGTTGTTGTGAATTTAGAGAGGTGTTTTTGTGTTAATCAGCATCTCTGTTTCTTTATTAAGGTCATATGTGCTCCCCTGCTGCCTAAAAGCTCCCCTTGAACTTATACTAGGATCTTTTCTTGGCCTTGTCACCTTGTTTCTGTTTGTGCTTGGCTTGAGCAATTATCTGTGTTGCAGTGAGTAACATATCATTTGCTGAATCCTGCCAGGATAAAACCAGTCTCCTATTGTTCACTGGCTTTTTTTTTTGTTTTGTTTTGTTTTTTGTAATAAGCTGGATTCTGTAGCATCTGCTTGGTGAAATGAATTCTTCACTGAAAAATGGTTTTCAGCAATACATCTATCTACCCCAGTACTGAAAGACAATCTCATAATGACAAGGGTGCACATGTTTTAGCAGTGGTCCCTTTAGAAAGTGTGACCAAGGTTGAGGAATCCATGTTGGTACTTCTGGTCTGCTGATTGCTATCAGTGAACCATCAATGGGATGCGGTCTTAACTGAGTTAGAAGTGGAAACCGCTTCAAAGGAGAACTGCTGTTACACCTACAGTGAAATTTAGAGCTCAATGTCCTGCAAAAGGCAGGAAAAAACTCTTTTTTTAAAGTTTATTCCACCTATCAAGCTGGAGGAGTGGCAACTTGTGTCAATGCTGTGCTGAAGCACAACAGCAGCAATCAACTTCAATATGATTGCTGCAAGATCTGCTTGCTTCCACCAAAGTTGATTTCTAACAGAGCCTCCAGTATGGACTACCAGGCCTAAGGCTGGTGGGGAAGTTGCTGAGGGGAGATGGGCAAAGCAAAATGCATTTTTGTCTTATCTGGTACAGAAACACTAAAGGTTTAGATGCTGTCTAGATCCTTACCCTGTAAAAAAAAAAAAGTCACAGCAGCACAGGAGTAGATCCTCACCCAGCTCCAATTTACGAAACTTCTCTCAGTCCCCAGCTCCTCCTGTCTAAAGCTGCTGAAGAGTTTCAGAAGGATGTTTAACTACTGTTCTTCCTATTAAAATGGGCAGGAAAATGAACCACAAATAGTCATACACTTTATCAGTTAGCAGATTAAGGCTGTAAAAAGAATTATGGCCACCTGTCCTCAGTAGTTTTGTGGTTGTTGCATTTATTGAACCTATTTCTCTTTGCTGAAACATAGATCTGAGTATACAACTTTTCATGCTGCTGGTTAACATGGGCAAAGCAGAGAGTTTAAAAATCACCTTTTTGTGGAGTGAATATTTTCAGCCCTCCATTCTTTCACTTTTCTGCTTTTTCACACTGTTCTCTGAGCTGTGAAAGCTTTTAATTTCTCTGTGTTTGGCTGTCACCCCTGAGGACGTGACTCATCAGTGAAGGGATGGACACCAAATTTGTGTTCTGCAGTTTCTTTGTAGGGACACATCTGTCCTGAGGCAGTTCTGCTTTTTAAGTAGCAGGGGATTTTAGTGAGTAGAAGAAAGGTGTTTTTGACTAGGAATGATAAAGGTTATCTAGTCAAGGCTTCTAAGAAAAATGCTCCCCTAAATTCCTTCCATTGTATGTTAATAGGGTTTTGTGTCAGAGTGTGGTCTGTGGAAGCTGCACAAAAAGATGAGGACATCCTAGAGGGCCTTCTTCCCTGTATAGTTCTGAGTTTGGAAGGGCCACTTCTCTACTTTTGAGCATAATCCCAGAAAGACTCAGATAATCTTATTGATAGTACAGACAAAATCAGTGGGGGGTACCTGGGCTCTGGCACAGAGTGACACAGAGAGCTCCCCACAACATTTTATCCTGTGCAGCCATTTTTTCTTTCCTTTCTCCTTTAGGCTGCTTCCACTGTCATGGTGTTGGGATACTCCAGGGAATTTTACAACTTTGGCGAGTTTGTGCTGGCTAAATTAACAGCTAGCCCACCTGGGGCACAGGTGGTTGTGATTTATTGGACACCACTTGGAACAAAGTCACAAAATTTTGCTGGTGGACAAATCCAAATCCCTTCAGAGTGCTCAGTCTTGCCTGTGAAAAGGCCATAGTTGTGTTGAGCTAGCTGGAAATACTGACGAATTTACTTAAAAAAATTTTTTTTTGGCTTTATAATATTGGTCCAATCCCAAGGAAAGCAAAAAGACCTTTCTCCAAATAAATCAGTTCTACTAATTGGCAAGGAGGACTCTGTCACATCAGAAATAGTTCTGGTCCTAGGGGATTTGCAGCTGGCCTGATGGATGCAGTTAGAAGCGAATGAAAACCAGGAGTGTTGGACTGGAGAACAATCATGAGGTGGCTGCACAATGCAGTGACTTTTTCAGGTTTTCAGACCTCGGAAGGGGCTTACCAGCAATGAATCTAGAAGCACCTTGCTCATGTGTAATTGAGATCAGTGTGACTGAACGTGTGGAATTGATATAGTAAAGCTGCAGTGTTGAGTCTTACTCATAATGTTTGTTTTGGTTTTTTTTGAGTGATGGTGTGTGGAGCAGAGAAGCATTTTGAAATATCCCTAACCTCCAGACCCTTTTGTTACCAGTTCTTTCA